CCGCCTTTTCCCACACTATTGTCTGTGTCCATTGGTTATGCATATAAGTTCTTTGGTTTATTTCTTCCCACCCCCCCAACCCCTTTCCCTTTGAGGTTTGTCAGTCTAGCAATGAATTTGTACTTCTTAATCCTTTCACCTTTTTCACCCATTCCCCCAACCCCCCTTCCAACTGGCAACCAACAAAATGTTCTCTGTATCTATGAGAATGTTTCTGTTCTACCTGTTCATTTTGTTTGTAGATTCCATTGTTGATAGTTATGTATTCATTGCCATTTTGTTTGTTCAGATATTTTATCTTTTTCTTCAAAAAGACCCTTCATCATTTTATATAATAACAGTTTGGTGGTGATGAACTCCTTTAACTTTTTCTTGTCTGGAAAAGTTTTTATATGGCCATCAATTCTAAATGACAGCTTTGCAGGATAGAGTAATCTTGGTTGTAGGTTCTTGCTTTTCATCACTCTGAATATTTCTTGCCACTCCCTTCTGGCCTGCAAAGTTTCTTTTGAGAAATCAGCTGACAGTGTAATGGGAACTCCCTTGTAGGTAACTAGCTGCCTTTCTCTTGCTGCTTTTAAGATTCTCTCTTTGTCTTGAACCTTTTGAATTTTGATGGTGATGTGTTTTGGTGTGGGCCTCTTGGGGTTCATCTTATTTGGGACTCTCTGTGCTTCCTGGACTTGTATGTCTGTTTCCTTCACCAAGTTAGGGAATTTTTCTGCCATTATTGTTTCAAACAGGTTTTCGATTTCTTTTTCTTGCTCTTCTCCTTCTGGCACCCCCAAGATGCGAATGTTGGCACGCTTGAAGTTGTCCCAGAGGCTCCTTACACTATCCTCATTTTTTTGGATTCTTTTTTCTTTTTGCTGTTCTGATTGGGCATTTTTTTGCTTCCTTATATTCCAAATCGATGGTTTGCTCCTTGGATTTACATACTCTATTATTGAAGATGTGTAAATTATTCTTTATTTCAGTTAATGCCTCCTTCAATTCTAACTGTGCATCCATGATTTCTAACTGGTCCTTTTTTATGCTCTTGAAGCCCTCCCTGAGTTCACTGAAGTTCTCACTAAGTTCATTGAGCATCCTTATAAGCAGTAGTTTGAACTCAGCATCTGTTAGGTTGCTTATCTCCATTTTGCTTAGTTCTTTTTTTTGGGTTTTGTTCTGTTCTTTCATTTGGACCTGTTTCTTTGTCTCCTCATTTTGGCTGCCTCCCTGTGTTTGTTTCAGTGTACTTACTTAATGAGAGGTATGGGGCTCGCTGAGACCAGATGCTGCTTGTTTGAAAGAATTTAGGAAAAACCTGAAGCAGGATCCAAGACAGGCCAATCCTATGGTTAAGCAGCTGGCAACAGCTTGGGGGGCCTGAAAGTTGGGTGGGCGGGGCCTCAGGGAGTCACCAGGGCAGGGCTACCAGTGTGAGCCAGGTTGCTGGAGTCCCAGATATGGTGACTGTCTGCCACCCCAGGGAAGGGCTCACCAAAGGAACAAAGGCCTCTGACAGCACGTTTGTCCTGGAGAAAGCCCCCTCTCCAGCCCTTGCTCCAGTGCCAAACAGCTCAGTTCTTCCCTGTATGTTTCTGGTGCCCCTCGAGCTGCCTCCCATCCAATCTTAGAGGGAGAGAGTCTGATAAGTTCGCGCACGGGCCCTTTAAGGAGCTGCCTGGGGCTCCAGCCGCGTCAGCTTCCCTGAGCCTCAGTTTCTGCTGGTTTTTCCAGCCAGAAGTTCTGGGAACTTCTCTTCCTGGCACTGGAACCGTGAGCGGGGCACCTGGTGTGGGACGGGGACCCCTCAGTCCTCAGGAAGGAACTTCCCAGCCGAGGTAGTCTCCTGATTTTTATCTGCCACATATGGGTGTGGGCCCAGCCCCTGGCGCAGCCGCAGCGCCTCGCACCTCCGCCCCTCCTACCAGTCTGGATGTGGCTGCTGCTTTAATTCCGAAGTTGTAGGACTTCCATTCAGCTTGATTTCAGGCGGTTTTGAATGATGGTTGTTCTATAGTTTAGTTGTAACTTTGATGTGGTTGTGGGAGGACGCGATACTGCGTTTACCTACCGCCATCTTGACCGGAAGTACTGGGATTTATGTTACTCAAAGTCTTACCAAAACATTTGTTATAAAAATCAATAAAATTGTTTAACACATTAAAAAAAATTTTGGACATGTGTACATAGTAATTATTTTCAAGCTTGCTTTACAAAAAATGAGTGCAATTTCTATCCATGTGTTCATAGTAACTTTCAAAAGTAGTTTAAAGAGGGAAAAAGAAGGTAGCATTGTCTTGTAATAGAGCATTAATTAATACTGACTTACCCTGGGACACTCATGAAAGATCCTTTACCACATGTAGTAAAAATATTTTAAAATACTCCATTTCTATGAATAAAACATAGAAAACAGTCTTTATATTCTTAGACTAACTTGTTACTATACAAAACTACATTCATTTTGCAGATATTCCTGACACCCCACGTTATTTCTTTAAAAATATTTGATATTTGAAAAGAAGCCCACAGACTTATTCTCCTTCCAATACATTCACTGAAAACAGATTTAAGTGAGCATGTCTCATTTTGATTGTACCCTTTATTTGTATACTTTAAAAATGACTACAATATTGTACATTTGTATTTATATCTTTTATCCTCACCCGAGGACATTTTTTCCATTTTTGTTCAGATAGAGTGGGAGGGAGAGAGAGGAAGAGAGAGAGAAACATCAATGTGAAAGGGATACATCGAGTGGCTGCCACCGCACGACCCAACCAAGGCCGGGGACAAACTGCAACCGAGGTATGGCCCTTAGCGGGAACCAAACCTGGGTCTCTCTGGACTGCAGGCCAACACTCTAACCGCTGAGCCAAACCGGCCAGGGCTACATTTGTATTTTTAACTGGTATTAAAATGAACATGTATGATCTATGCAAAACCAGCAGCCTGTACTTCTAGCAACAGATGTCATAGGAAAGAGAAAAAAAAAGAAAAAGCCCTGAGTCAGTATTTTTTGCAAAAGCAATGAAGAAGAGTGCTCTGACGTCATTTTGTAACTTATGAAATAGTCAGGACTGTCCAGTTTTCATTTGTTTTGTTTCCATTTTGATTGAAGAGATATGGCTTTTGTTTAGTTAATCCAACTCAGGTTATTTCTTTTTTTTTATTTTTTTATTTTTTTATCCTCACCCAAGGACATTTTTCCAATTTTTGTACAGATAGAGTGGGAGGGAGAGAAAGAGAGAGAGAGAGAGAAACATCGACGTGAAAGGGACACATCGAGTGGCTGCAACCCGCACGACCAACCAGGGCCGGGGACAAACTGCAACCGAGGTACGTGCCCTTAGCGGGAACCGAACCCGGTTCTCTCCGGACCGCAGGCCAACGCTCTAACCACTGAGCCAAACCGGCCAGGGCTCAGGTTATTTCTTAATACTAAATTTCATTTAAATTCTCAGAATATCCTGATGATTGCTGAGTTATGTCTTCCATTTCTGCACAGGGTCCTGCTTGAAATTTAACATCATCAATGGCAATATCACCTCTTATTGACACTCCCCGAATGGCTTCAAAAATTATCTGGTGTTGCCTCTCACTGCTGTATTCAATCACTGCTCGGAGCTAAGAAATGCTCTGTTCATCTCTTCTTCTCCATAAGAGGACCTCTTCCCTGTCACCTTCTTTTTTCAAATAAACACTCAGCAGGCCAGTCCCTGCTCCATACATGTGGTATAAAAAGGTCAAGCAGTGCTTTCTGGTGACTCCTCCAAAAGGCCAGGACAAGAGATGTGCCTTTTGTCCATACACCATGTGGGAAGCCTCGATGTACATGTAGTAGCCCTCATTCCGGTCCTGCCCACAGCCATCTTCCTTCTTCCTTTTAACATTTTATGATCTCACTATTCCTCTGCATGGGTATATGGCCCTTCTTTCATGGCCTGGTCCCTGCTGACCTCTCCAGACTCACTTTCCACTTCTTCCCTCAACAGATCTCTGAACCAGTCATACCAATGATTTGCCATTTCCCAGACTCACCACATTCTCTTTTGCTTCCATACCTCACACGTCTCTGGACCTTTTCCCCCCTTCTCCACCTCTCATCTGGCCAAGCAACTCCTAATTACCCTTTAAGAATCTGCACACATATCACTTCCATTATGAAGGCTTCCTGACCGATTAAGGCAGAGAATGCCTGGGGAATGAATGAAACCTGGTCTGGGTTCTAAAGCACCCGTTTCCGCCTGCCTGTGAGCTCTGACTCACCGCGTGGATTTGGACAGATGCAGTAACCTCGCTTCTCTGGGCCTCAGCTTTCTTATCTGTGAAGTGGAGGCGATGACAGTGCCCACATCGTTGGGCGGGAGCGGGAATCACAAGAGCTAGAGAATGAGAAAACCGACTTGTAACCTCAAGGCTTGGGATGGAGAATCGTCATGATTATGGGACTGAGAAAAAGCAGCAGGTAAGCGGGCGGGGTCCAGAGCAGTGACGCGACGGAGGCACCGGGGCGGCTATGTGATGCGCCAGGGCCCAGCTTGGCGTGCTCACCACCTCCTCCCGAGGGTTCTCATCTTCCAGGCCCACCCTCATCCTGGGGCACGAGAAACTTTTGCCTCCAGCCCACTCCATTCGCACTCCCTACTAGGTCCCGCCCCGCAGCTACTCACTTACCTCGCGGCCCAGGGCCGGCGGGAGCCGCATCTCTATGGTCGACGAGAAGCTGGAGCCGCCTCCAGGGACACCCTTTATGCGACCGCCTCCCGCCCAGCGGAACTCTAGGGCACTGGGTGTACGGAGGCCACTCTCTCTTCCTCTTGGCGGTGGGAGGAGTACTCTATGGTTTTCTCTATCGTTCCCGCCCCACCCCCCTAACCTCCCCCAATCATGAAGCCCGAGGAGTACCACCGAGAGTGTGGAGCAGAGTGGCAGGGCCTTCCTGGTGGGCGGAGCGGGAAGTAGATGAAAGAGCTCGGGGGTGGGGCCGAGCAGCGCTTCCCTGGACTGCGGAGGGGTGAAACCATTGAGAGGGAGGGCCAGAGAGCCATGGCGGTAAGGGGATGGAGTGATGGATTATCGCAAACCGCGTTGCTGGAAGAGCAAGTTGGGGTGTGGAGGGCGTTCGGGAGAGGGCGTCCGACTAGGGCCCGGAGCGGGAAGGGCTTTGTCTGTGGCCTTACATGCATAGGTATTTGGAATTCTGGATCCAACTCTGAGCCTCAGCGGAGGTCACTGCTGTCAGTTCTTCCCGCGTGCCAGGCGCAAAGTGGCAGGAGGCGGGGGAGGCGTACCAGACAATCGGCTTCCTACTCTTCGGGATCTTACAGCCTAGAATTAGATCTGGTCACGTTTTATTGCGGAGAATTATGAAAAATCTCCCCGGAGGAAGTAGCAAATGGGCAGGACTTCAGTTGGAAAGAATAAATTAGGATGGGTTTCGAGTCGAGAAAAGTGCTTAAGCCAGGAGGTGGGAGGTGGTTTGCATATTTGTTCAACAGAGTTTTAGGATTTAAGCTATGAAAGGTAGGTGGAGGGCTTTGAGTACCAGGCAGAGGAATTTTTACCTAATTCAAGGGTCTGTTGAAAGGTGTTGGGAGTAGGGAGAGAAATAGGATTGAAGCTGATCTTTATGAAGGAAAACCTGGACCCCTGTGTAGCCGTTTGAGAGACAGGTGAGAGATACTGAAAGGCTAAATAGGACATTAGGAATGAGCATATAAAGGAGAGGATATTTGAAGGACATTACTCATTGTAACAAGGTATGGTGGTTACTGACAGGTCAATGGAAATGAGTGGCTTCATTCCTTGCTAACTCTGGCCAGTGGGCCCCTTTCTATCTCAGCTGGTCCCAGGGACTACAAAAATTCTGTACATTTGTTATCCTGTTGTGAAGCCAGTTACACTGTTCTCTTAGGATTAAAGACTCTCTAGATTCGTTCTCTGGCAGGAAACTGAAGTATGAACAGGATCATGAAGGGCAAAATGGGACCAAGGGCCTGGAGTCTCAGCCCTTGCCAACACCATGGCCACCTCACAAATGGGGGATAGCAAAGCACACAGTAGCTGACCTGTCTTTCCTGCTCCCAGCTCTTGCAGGAGGGAAGGTGGGGGAGGAGAATTGAGTCCAGTTTCTCAACTAATCTTGTGTTTTTTCCCATTTCCATTGCTTCCCATCCCCAGGTTTTGAAATTGTCTCAGGGCCTGTAAGTTTCGGTGTATCCCTTTCAAGATGCCACTTTCAGACTTTGTTTTGGCCCTGAAGGACAATCCCTACTTTGGGGCTGGATTTGGGCTGGTGGGTGTGGGCACAGCCCTGGCCCTGGCCCGGAAGGGTGCCCAACTGGGCCTGGTGGCATTTCGGCGCCATTACATGATCACACTGGAAGTCCCTGCTCGAGACAGGAGCTATGCCTGGTTGCTTAGCTGGCTCACCCGGCACAGTACCCGTACTCAGCACCTGAGTGTCGAGACCTCGTACCTTCAGCATGAGAGTGGTCGCATCTCCACTAAGTTTGAATTTATCCCTAGCCCTGGAAACCACTTTATCTGGTAAGGTTGGGAGCCAGGAAGGGCTCTGAGAGTAGAAAAGGAGAATGAGGGGAGCTGAGTTTGACCCATTCATTCACCCCAGTTTGACCATTCCTATTCAGGTATCAGGGGAAATGGATCCGAGTGGAACGAAGCCGAGAGATGCAGATGATAGACCTGCAGACGGGTACTCCTTGGGAATCTGTCACCTTCACAGCTCTGGGAACTGACCGCAAGGTTTTCTTCAACATCCTGGAGGAAGGTGTGGGGTGATACAGGCAGGCTCTGTGGGGAGTTGCAGGGTTGGGGGCATTTGACATCAGAGGAAGAGAAGCTTGGAGGATCTGAACCCATGGAAGCAGGGGCTGGGGTAAGCTATTTTGGCACAGCTCTGCCTTAGTTGCATGGCAGTGAGGAATATTGGCTTTGTCTCATCTCCGCCCTCCCAGCTCGAGAGTTAGCCTTGCAGCAGGAAGAAGGGAAGACAGTGATGTACACAGCCATGGGCTCTGAATGGCGCCCTTTTGGATATCCACGCCGGCGGCGGCCTCTGAATTCTGTGGTTCTAGAACAGGGTCTGGCTGACCGAATTATCAGAGACATTCGGGAATTCATTGATAACCCCAAGTGGTACACTGACAGAGGTGAGAAGCAGCTGGGGTCTTGGCCAGGCTGTTATTGATGTGGTGTTAGGGCAGGAAGAAACAGGCTAGTCTGTGGCCAGATGGGGGTGGATATATAGCTCTAGCCCAATTCCTAGAGAAGTAAAAAGGAAAGTTGTTTACGGAGATTATTTCTTTCAATACCAAGGTCCTTGAACCTCCAGAAAGTAGGGTTGGGAATGAATGTGGACATTTGGGGCAGAGTACATGATTGACTTCAGGTCTTATCATCCTGGTTGTATTCCCAGGCATTCCCTACAGACGTGGCTACCTGCTTTATGGGCCCCCTGGCTGTGGAAAGAGCAGTTTTATGTGAGTAGAGTCAATATTTCTCTTAACCCTCAAACTGGAGAAAAACTGGGTTGATGGGATTGGAAAGAGAAATATATGTGGGGAACAGGGGCCAGGATAAACATAAGACACGTGGAACGTTAGGGTCGGGTGGTGGAAGGGTTGGGCCTGAGACACCTAGTATAGTTAGGAAGGAGCAGTTGGGCCCAAGGACGAATTCCCAGATTGCCAACCACCTGTCCTGCCATCCTCCATAGCACAGCCCTGGCTGGGGAGCTGGAGCACAGCATCTGCCTGCTGAGTCTCACAGACTCTAGCCTCTCCGATGACCGGCTCAACCACCTGCTGAGTGTGGCCCCACAGCAGAGCTTGGTGCTCCTGGAGGATGTGGATGCTGCCTTTCTCAGTCGAGACCTGGCTGTGCAGGGTAAGTGAAGGGATTTGAGGGAAGGGGTGTTTCTAAATGAGGAATGGTAGAAAGTAGAAACCCAGAAGGCTGATGGAATATGTGTGGGTTAGCAAGAGCCCAGAAGCTAAGGTAAGAAGGGGAATGTGGTAGGGAATAAAAAGGGCTAGATTTAACCTGGCCAGTGTGGCTCAGTGGTTGAGCATCAACCCATGCAACCAAGAGGTCGCCATTTCGATTCCTGGTCAGGGCACATGCCCAGGTTGTGGGCCCGATTAATCCCCAGTGAGGGGCTTGCAGGAGGTGGCCAGTCAATGTTCTCTCTCATCGGTGTTTCCCTAGTATCAATAAAGAAAAAAATAAAAATAAAAAAAGGGCTAGTTTTAAGCGGGGATAACTCACCACCTATGCTTCTTTTATCTCTGCCTTCCTCTAGACCCAGTGAAGTACCAAGGTCTAGGTCGTCTCACTTTCAGTGGACTGCTCAATGCCTTGGATGGTGTGGCTTCCACTGAGGCCCGCATTGTGTTCATGACTACCAACCATGTTGACAGGTAGGAAGGAGTGAGGTACTCTGAGACTGTGAGGCTAGACTTCACCTACTCTGAACCTTGGGAGGTCCAGGAAGTTCAGAAGGGACCATCATTTTGGGGGGTATCAGTGGTACTACTGCTTGTAACTGTTTTGCTGCCTTCTCCTTAGACTGGACCCTGCCCTGATACGTCCAGGGCGAGTAGACCTGAAGGAGTACGTGGGCTACTGCTCACACTGGCAGTTGACTCAGATGTTCCAGAGATTCTATCCAGGGCAAGCACCTTCTTTGGCAGAGACCTTTGCAGAATGTGTCCTTCAAGCTACAACTCAGATCAGTCCTGCCCAAGTGCAGGGTTACTTCATGCTATATAAAAATGACCCTACAGGGGCAATTCAAAATGCTGAGTCCCTGAGGTGACAACTAGGCTATACTCAGCTTTCTCTAGGGGATTAATAAACACCTACCATACTACTCTGGTCTCTGACTTCCTGGTATTGGTACTTGAATAAAATGCAGGGGCTGTAATCACAGATACCTACGGGGCCATCAAGCATCCACCTATACTAGTGTTAGTGACACAGCCTAAGACAAATGGGGAAGAAGAGACACTATAGTAAACAGAAAAGTATATATATAAAAATGTGGGCATATACACAGTGGGTTACAAAGCACAGTGATTCCTGCAGATTCTGCTTAAATGTTGGCTGGCGTCCATTAGTTTTCCCTGAAACCTACTACACTAGCTGAGATGTCAGACTCCTCTTGACCTAGACCCAAATCTCATGGGTTAACAAACCTCAGGACAAATTTGAGGGAATATTGGCTTTGTCTCATCTCCGCTACTCTGACACACTTGTCTTGCTAGGAATTTAGAAAGACAGCCATTCTTAACAGGTTTGGCGCTACTGAGCAAAGAAAGGCAAACAAGGCCAAATCTCTTTATTGCCCCCCTCCTATCCCCACTTCCCTGTCCCCCCACAGTACTGCTAGGAACCATCCTCAGATTCCAGGCTCAAGGGCTCCCTTCGAGTACCAGGTTGGTAGGCTCCCCGACCCCGAGGCAGGCGGGGATAGGAAGAACCTGGTGTCCGACTCTTGGAGCGCTCCCAGCGAGCACAGTCCCGATTCCTGCGGGGTGGGAGACCCTGCCAGTTGCCAGGCCCATTCTCTTGGGAATGACCTTCAACCTCTTGGTTATGGGGTTCTCGCTTTATGTCCATGGGCTCCTTGGGGGGCCTCTCGGGAGGTGGCAGTTCCTGGGTGTCATTAGTACCTTTGGGGGCATTGTACTCCCCTCCCTTTAGGTGCCTCCGTTCAGGCTGTCTCCAGGGGCCTCGATGGGCCCGGGGGGGATCTAGGATAGCTTTCTGTGTCTCGCCCAACCTTTGCTGATTTGGCCCAGTCCCTGGAATCTTCTCACATGTGTACTGGGAAGCCACCAGCAGAGGAGTTGACTGAGTAGGTTGGGCAGATGAAATGGACAGTTCTGTGGCAAGGGCACTGGGTGCTTGGGATCCTCTGGAGGTATCTACAGCTGACTCAGGTTCCAAATGGGCAGGTGGCTAGAAAGAAGTGAGCAGATGCTGTGAAGGCGATTCATTTTCTCACAGCAGGGAACTTCAGGTCTCTCGCCCACTGAATGAACTGACCACCATCAGCCTAGAACCACCCTGGGTGGAACAAAGCTCACCCTAGGGCCATGTCAGAGGGGTGTTCATAGGAAGGTTGGTATCATTAGGGAAGGAGTGGGAACCCCTTTCCTCACCTGCTGGAGGCTGATAAAGTACCGGTTACGCTCAGCCTCAAGGTCAATGATGCCCCCCCTCTCCTGCTGCCTCTGGTAGAGCTGCTTGAGTTCTTCTTGCTGGCGCAAGCTCTCCGCATTGGGCTGGTATACCTCCTGGAGGGAATGGAGCAGATTGGCAGGGAGGGAAGATTAAACAGAGGGCAGACCCGAAACCCTGCTCTTCCAGGACTGCCTCAGGAAATCTGCACAAGGTTCTTGGTTTTATCCCTCAGATTTGGGCTCCTGAATGAACCTTGGGCTCCCTGTAGCTTTGTAGAGGTCCCAGGTTGAGGCCAATTCCAGAGCCCATGCTAGGCAAACAAGATGCCCTTCCTCCCTCCTTGGAGAATAGCATATTCCTGGCTCAGATTAGAAGGGAGTTCCCTTACCATGGGCTGTTGGGGCTCAGGGGCTGCTTTCAGTGAGGCAAGATCATACACGAGGGGCTCTCTGCACACCGGACATTGCACACCAGCAGCCTTCTAAAAAGAGAGGAGAAAACCACACCCCTGCTTCATGGCCCAGGGTGACCACCACCTGCCCAACCCCATCTGCTGAGGGCTGGGATGGAAGGGCACAGGTATGCCTATTCAGTGAGGTGGGACAGCAGGGGTCATCTAGCCAGAGGTCTGGAAACCTCTAAAACTGCATCCAGTGTGATTACATGTATATAAGAAGTGAGTGTTCTTTAGTATGACCATAAGAAGGTTAACAGCTAGAGGGAGAGAAAAGGTTGTGAGTCTGTGGTGTCCAGCCGTAAGCAGGGACCAGCGGGCTGACCTGTTTGGTTGCGGCATGCTGCTGTTCCTGTTCCTGTCCTTGAGCCTGCAGCTCGTGCTCCATGTGCTGGATGTACCGAGCAAGACAGTGGCAGTGGAAGTAGTGGTAACAGGGTGTTTTGGTAAAGGCCTCGTTCTCCTGGAGGGAGTATGGATATAGGATACTGTGTCAGAGCTCTCTCACGAACCCTCTGCTGCCCATCCCAAGCAGATCCCGGGTCCCAAGAGAGACCCACCTGGAAACCATAGAGGCAGATGACACATTGGCCATGAGGGATGTTGTTATCTGTGAGAATTTCCTTCCCTTTCTGAGAAGAGAGAAGACACTGTTCAAACACAGAGGCAGTAGCAAGGACTGTGAGTAAAACCTGTCTACTATTCCCAGGATTAACTGGCTGGGCTGTCTCTCACCAAGCCAATTTGTTACCTTATGCTCACACTTGTCTATCTTGGTGATGCTCCCTCTGCTTGGAATCAATCCTGCTCTAAGTCCCTGCCCCTCCTCCCAAATCTGCCCCTCTCCAAAATCCAACTTAATTGTTTTCCCTCTCATTTAGTCACCTTTGATAGCTCTTGAAGATGAAAATAATATACCTTAGAGAAAAAAAATGTTCAATGAAAACATCTTCTGGGAGGCCTTTCTTGGTAAACTCCCTTTGAAATCACTGCCCCACTGAGTTTGTCCTGGAGTCGGCTTTCAGAAATAAAGCCAAGGCATGGACAACCCGAAGGAACAAAGAATTCAAAAGGCATCAAGTTGATCTATCAAATATGCATTTCAATAGCTAATAATCTGGAATTCCACAAAGTTCAAAGCTGCATTGTGGAGGCCGGCCCAGGAGTGCTATATGGTCTATGCACATTCTCTCTGACACCAGACCACCCACCTTTATTCTTTTCTGAACATTTCTCTAAAAAAATCAAAGTAGAGGAAAACAAGACTGTACTTAACTGTTTTTCATCTCAAACAGCAAAAGTGATCTGTGTATATTAATTAACTTGTAGTTCTAGGTGTTGCTTCACGTGGGTTGTTTCCTTCACTAGGATAGAAACTCAGTAAAGAACCATGACTTTTTCTAGTCAGCTCTAATGGCAGACTAGCCTTCAAATGTTCATGTATGGCAAAGACCCTCCAGGCAGGATCCATCTCTTGCTACTTTCAGTTGTCAGTGCCAAGAGAACAAGAAATGCACTGAAACTAAAACAATAATGCAAGTTAAAGAGGAAAAGTAATTTCCTATCAAGATGTTATAGGCGACTTGGGAATGCTATAGAATTGCCTGTCTTTTTGGGAGATTTTGTTTGAAACAGAAGAAAAGTCTTGTCTTCCTGCATTTAGACCTCACCTAAACAAGGACTAAATGAATGAACTCAGATATATTCACAATTCTAGGCCATGACTTCCCTTGAAAGAAACTGCTTTAGCTTGAAGGAAAAGGACATCTCCCCAGGCTAGAATACCTCTTACCTCAATGAGTTCATACAGCATGGCAGTACCCAGCCCAGCTGTGGCCACATGGCTCAGTGCCTGTGAGATCCTGGAGGAAGACAAACCAAACATTAGGCCTTCTCCCTTTCTCACCAGACTGAGCTGTATCCCAAGTGTTCCTGCTCTAACCAGCCCACTTACTTGTGGATCTGTTCATCTGAGAGTCCTCGGGGGTTACGAATAGAGATCTGTGGCACCTCATTGGGATACTAGTATGAGAAAACCACAAGTTACTGCTAAAGCACTCCACCCTAGGACCTGTCCCCTTCCTCCCTTTGCTGCCATAAGGTGGGGGGTGGGGGTGGGGGGCTCACCTGTGCTGGGACCTGAAGCACCAGGGTGAAGCAAACATACTGTGAATCCTGGTCTTCTGCAGTGGCAGGGTGCAGGGTGATGTAGACTTCCCATGGTGAAGATCTGTAGGTGGAAGAAGTGGAGACCTGGGATGTGATTGGGCAGGGGTTGGAAGGTGGGGGAGGATGGGAGTTAGATAGTGAAGTGGGCAGAGGAAGTAAGCATTGGGCTCACTCTTTTTTGGGGGGAAATGAAAGGATTAGTCTTTATCTACACGAGAGAAACATTATCTCTGAATCAAGGCTCACAGATTCTGCATGGAATCCTCTCATTTCTAATGGGACTCATGCCCACCCCTAGGTGAATACGTACCTGCCATTTCCTTTAACCACCTGTAGTTCATCCAGATAGATAGATTCTAACACCTCGATTTCAGAGGGAAGGACCCTAGAGAGACAGAGTTTGAAACATCATTTCTGTCAACAGATGAGGAAAGACATTCCCAGGAAGGTGAAGGGAGGACTAGCCCAAATCTCAAGGCTTAACAGAGGCAGAACTCAGATGAGAACCTGGTTTCCCGACTCCTTAAGTTTCTTTGTACTATTGATTGTTCCTTAGTGGCCATCTCTCTGACCCAGAAATATTATGTCCATTGATTAACATCAAGGTTACCAATACCACTCTTGGCTTTCCCTACACTATTGTTCATGTGGATCCCAGTATCTACATATACTGCCCATACCAGGCACCCTAAACCTTCTGAATAGATACCAACTTGAATAGACCAAGGTGATATAAAAGGAGATACTAACCTGAGAAGATCAAGGTGATATAAAAGCTCTGTTGTAGTGGAAGAGCCATCAGCCTTGAAGTCATTAATAGGTACCAATCACTTAGCACCCATGTGATCTGAGTTAGTTATTTATCCTTATAAGCCTGAGTTAACATATCCAAATACCACCACCTACTCTCTAGAGTTATTGTGAGGCTGAAAGGGATTTATGTAAGGTACCTACTAGCATCTTGGCCACAGTAGCTAGTCCATATTTGTATATAACCTTTTCTCTTAAAAGGAAAGAAGGATGTAGTTAGTATTCAACCCATTTATGACCCTGCTGTATAGCTGAGCTACAGCAACCTGTACAGAACCAGTGGTTCTGATGTAAATCAGAGGACACACGTTTTTAATCACAGAAGCGGCAGTCATGACATGTAAGGTGACGTTGACAATACGTGAACAGATGCATGCTTGGTTTACTTTCTTATAGGTATATTGTTCCCCTTCACCAAGAGCAGTGCTGCTCTTGGCATGACCTATGTATCAGTGGTCCTCAAAACTGAAGCCTCAGAGCACCACAGTCTAGCGGTGCAGTCACTGCTACCCTCCCTATGGGTCAGAGAGTCCCCTCAGAATCCTAATGTTCCCCGGAACAAGTTGAAAACCATGAGTCTAGATGGCTCCAATAAAGGCCAGCATGGCTGGGCTTCCTGAATCAATGAAACACTGGGGTGTAGCCTCCATCAAGAGGCCCTTCAATACTTCACTCAGCCCAGAGCTGTGACTTGAGCCTTGATGTGGGGTATGGGAGGGGATGATGGTAAAGTGGTGACAGAAAAGGGGTGGGGGTGGGGATGGTAGAATATCCTAGTACTAAGGTCATAAGATTTGAAATCAGCCAACCTGGATTCCTAGTCACAACTATGTACCTCTTGGCAAATCATTCTACCCGTCAGGCTCCATCTAGTCTCCTCAGATGCCTACATCTCAGAGTTATTAAGGAAGAGGCCAGTGTATGTTACAAATCCATCCTGATTCTCTCAACCACTTATGAGGTGATGCCACACCCACTTTTTCACAGCAGAGGACACTGACTCACAGAAGATGGGTGGCCTGCTGAGCATCACACAGCTAATAAAATGTGGACTGAACCCACGTAAATCCTTTTTCCAAATCCCAGAGTCCTTTCAGGTTCTGGACTCTTTTAAGAATGCTTGAGAGAAGGACTAAGAGAGCTTTTTTTGTTAAGTGTAAGGCTTTATTCACACAACAGTCCTCAGTACTGTCGGAGAGAGAGAAGGCTGAGGAAAACCTCGGCAGAAATAGGTTGATCCGGGGGGAAGGGGGGCAGGAGCTGGAGGACATCGGTTCGGGGAGGTTAAAGGGGAGGTGGGGTGATCTGATGTGCAGGCATCCCCCGGGACCCTGAGCAATTCACTTCGAGAAGAGACAATGGGATGGAATGAGGCCAGAGGAGTGGGAATCCCACTAGACAAGGCGCGGCTCGCCCTGGCCTGGTCAGCGCAGGTCCGGTCGTCTCTCGCTGAGATTAGCGCCCCTCCACCCACCGCTCCTCAGTCCAGAAGCTCTCAGAGAAAGATGTCAGCGTCTCTGCCATCCCTCATTCCTCGCTCCGCCCCACATGCCCGCCATACGGGCCGTCCACGGCCGCCACTCTCCCCCAGACCGGATCCAGGCGGTCAGCCAAAGCCCATGCCCCCAAGTTACCAGTCCTCCTCCCCTGCAGCCGCCGACGAAGATGTCGCCATGTCTTCTCCGGCCCACAGCCGGAACCGGAAATACCCGGGTTAATCGGAAAGTTAAGGGGGTGGCGGCAGTGTGGCTAGCGGCCGTTTCTAGGCAACCGCAGACTATGGGTCTTTGGTGGGTCCTGAGAGCCAAGAGGCGGTTCGGAAGTGCCTTAAAAAGTGCCTAAGGACGGTCCACCGTTTCACCCACACCTCTGAATACCTTTGTCCTCTGGACCTCTGACCAGCTGTAGCAGCACAATTGGTAACAATGGGAGTCTTTTAAAAGAGTCCGACAGTGGGGGTGGAGAAGACTTATATGTCAGGCAAGGACGCAGGCAGCCCGAAGGGGCGGGGCGGAAGGCCGAGCCGGCGTCCCTCGGCCTGAGGAGCTTGAAGCTCCTCGGCTGGGGGTGACAGCGGGGCTCAGGTCTGCGAAGCATGCGTGCAGGGGATGAGGGCATGAGGGCGGGGGTGCCGAGAAGGTTGGCGGTGGCGAGAACTTGGGGAAGGCTGGAAGGGGTGTGGTCGGTGGGCGAGGCTGGATAGAGGGAGAGTGGTCGGTGGGTGAGGCTGGTTGGAGGGGGACAGGGGACACGGGGTCGGATGGGAGAACTACAAGAGGCCCTCTGTTTGCTCCAAGATCTCATCTTTCCATTCACTACTCTACCATACTTTTGAGGCCTGGATTATTATGAAAAGTGGAAAAGACAAGGCTGCTAACATTAAACTTTCTTCCATTAAACCAGGCTTCTCAGATGTGTGGAACTGCCCCTGGAATTGCCCCTGGAGCTGTGGCTCTTCATCTCTACTTTCTTCCTGCTGAGGAATCCTGAAACCTCTGCCATGGAAAAGTACCACGTGTTGGAGATGATTGGAGAAGGCTCTTTTGGGAGGGTGTACAAGGGTCGGAGAAAATACAGTGCTCAGGTGGTGAACAAAGAGGGATAGCTTTTGGTTGGGATTCCACACCTCCAACTCCAGTGGAAAATGGGGCCAGAGGGAAGCATTCATACGAACCTGTATTCCTAGGGCACTAAGAATACACACTACTGAAACTTTATACTTCATACTTCTTAGGATGTGTGAGCTCTGAAATTGGATTACTTGGGTTCAGATCCTATCTCTACCACTTCCTAGCCTTAGAACTATGGACAACTTACTTAACCTCTCTCTGTCTCATCTACAGAGTGAAGATAAACATAGTATCTGATTGACAAGGTTTGAGGATTAAATGTAATGTTACACCGAATCACTTAGTAAACCACAGTGCTTGGCACCTAGTAAACCACAAATAAATATTATTACTACTATTAATCGTTATCATCCCATGCAGGAAAAAATAAACCACCTGAACTACATTCTTTTCTCTTCATTTTTTCCCCCTTCCATTTCTCCTAAATTTCTTAAATTTTGAGTTATTTACTTATATCAGAATACCTCTCCCAGGATCCACCAAAGGGATCTGTCTGGCGGAGGCTGTTTCCTCCCAGGGAAAGGGGTAGGGGAAGCCTGGGTAAGACCATGGTACCATGGGGAGAGTGGAGTGGGAGACTGGCAGATATAATGATAATTGCTTCATCTAAAGTTTCACTTCTGGAGTTCTGAGGCTAAAGTTTCAGTAATGTGTTTAGGCCTTGACACTTCGTCTTAACCACTGACAGGTGGTGGCCCTCAAGTTCATTCCAAAATTGGGACGCTCAGAGAAGGAACTGAGGAATCTGCAACGAGAGATTGAAATCATGCGGGGTCTGCGGCATCCCAACATCGTGCATATGTTGGACAGCTTTGAGACTGATAAAGAGGTACATTTTGGCTTCGGGTCACCCCCTCTCTAAGAGAGGTCCTAGGAATTTCCCAACCTCAGTGCATAAATCTGGAGCCATCAGTATCTTTGCCTTCACCTTTCAGGTGGTGGTAGTGACAGACTATGCTGAAGGAGAGCTCTTTCAGATCCTGGAAGATGATGGAAAACTCCCCGAAGACCAGGTATGTTTCCAGGTTCTCCAGCCCTAACTCTCTTCAGGTTAAGGACTGGTAGGGAAAGCTGAGGGCACTGAGAGTCTGCATTTTGAAAATTTTTGAGGAAGATATAAGAGTCTCGGTATATATAGAGACAGTGTGGTGTGACAGTACAGTATATCTACCCTGAAGCCAAAAATCTTTGAATACAAAGGCTGGCTTTGCCACACTAGCTGGATTCTTTTGGGCAAGTTACTTGAACCTCTTTGTGCTCAGTTTCCTCTTTTTAAAAAAAATTTGTTTTATTTATTTATTTTAGAGAGAGGAACGGAGAAGGGAGGGAAGGAGGAAGAGAGAGAGAGAGAGAGAGAGAGAGAGAAACATTGATGTGAGAGAGCAACATCAACTGTTTACCTCCTGTATGTGCCCTGACCAAAGATTGAACCTGAAACCTGGATATGTGCCCTGACTGGGAATCGAATCCACAACCTTTTGGTGTATGGGACAATGGAGCCACACCAGCTAGGGCTCATTTTCCTCTTTTTAAAGTGGAAATAATAATGTCTATCTCAAAAACCTGTGAGGATTAGTGAGGTAATTCATGTAAAATGCTTAAAGAGTTTCTGAAACACAATATTCAAGATAGTTATTAATGTTATTGTTATAGGGCACCATTAGGGAAGAAGAGCCAGTGTGGTGGTTCCAGAGAGGGCAGGAAGGTGTAAGGGTTGTGGTTAAGGCAAGATTCGCCACCAAGATATAGTGGTTAGTAGTGGAATTTGGTTGAACACATTTTCTAGCCACACTTACTCTAGGGGTTTTTCTGTACTCTAGCAAGTAGGCCCTCCTCAGGACTTCCTGGTGTAGCATTCTATTTTTTTAGGAGTACTCATCACTGGTAAGTCATCATCTTACATCATCATCTTTGAGTTCCTCAGCAGGCTCCTCCCTCTGACCTCTCCCTTCTTCCTCCCATCTGATTGACTCCTAGGTTCAGGCCATTGCTGCCCAGTTGGTGTCAGCCCTGTATTACCTGCATTCCCACCGTATCCTCCATCGAGACATGAAGCCTCAGAACATTCTCCTTGCCAAGGGTGGTGGCATCAAGCTCTGTGACTTTGGGTGAGGAGCCTGACCTTTTGTCTGTGCTTCCACTTCTGCAGGTAGTCTTAGGCCATTTGCTTGGCTTACATGGGCCTTGTTTTAGAACCCGAGCTGGAGACAGGGACTTCTGCTGGGTCTTTTGGAAGGTTCTCTCTGTTTGGGATATCTCACACATGAGAGGGAGTAGTGACCAGGTCTAGTTTTTATTAACTGTCTACTTTTTTTTACATTTCCATTCCATCACCTGCAGATTTGCCCGGGCTATGAGCACCAACACAATGGTGCTGACATCCATCAAAGGCACACCACTCTATATGTCCCCAGAACTGGTGGAAGAGCGACCATACGACCACACTGCAGACCTCTGGTCTGTGGGCTGCATATTGTATGAGCTGGCTGTAGGCACCCCTCCCTTCTATACCACGAGCATCTTTCAGCTGGTCAACCTCATTCTCAAGGACCCTGTGCGCTGGCCCCCAGCCATTAGTCCTTGCTTCAAGGTAATGAATATAGAAAGGGAGATTATTTTGCATTAGAACCCTGTTTTTCTCTGCCTCTGTTTGATTTTTCAAAATCCTTTTCTCAAGCTGGGCAGAACCTTGCAGTTACTGAATTAATGCAGGAGCTGGGCCAAGCTGCCTTGCTTTTGTACTGCAGGGGCTTATTCTAGGAGGGTGTGCCAAACTTGGAAATAGCAACCTTTCCTTGGGCCAGGCTATCTTTGATCACAATGGAAAGGAGATTATAAGAGACCAGAAATAGATACCTTTTACATATGTTTTATTCCACTTATTTTCTTCAGATGAGATCTAGCTTTGCAAACACAGCTTTTAGTCTTCTTCCTGAAAGACAGAATCTTCAGCTGTCCAAATGGCCAGAGCTAGTGGGGCTAGCTTGGTTAATTAGGGGAAGATGAGAGAGGTGGTACCTGCCCTTGCAGCCAAGTCTTAGTAGGCTGGAGGAAGGGAGGATGGAGGGAGAGAAGAAAAAGAGTGTGGACCCTTTTAATTTCTTATCTAGGGCAAGATTTGGACTTTTAGTGGAGTTTAAATGCAACTTTCTCCCAGAGTAAAATCTCATAACTTCATTTTATCTAAGGTGAAAAGGCACAGGTTTCTCCCCAATCTATTTAGTTTGGGGAAAACCAAGTAATTATCAAAAAGAATCTAAACAAAAGAAACTTAACTGGGTGATATACATAGGATATTTATTCTCCCTTAGGGCAGACATGCAGTTATCTTCATCCAGAGCCATGGCATATAATCACCTTGTTTTAGAACAGTGGTCATAATCCAGTACTTTTATTCCTGTTTCAGACCCAGTTGAGGATTTCCCCAAGGATACTTCATAATGATGTACCCTTTTTAGAGACAGTCTCCCTACCCCTCCACCATCTGAAGACTTGGTGAAAGATTTCTGGTTTGAGTGCTCCCAAACACATCTTTACACAATGACTTGTGCGTATGAGTGTGCTTTCAACTATAAATGCATCTGTTCCTACCCAGCTGTAAATAAACTGCAGTCAAAGGGAAGGCCAAATAAGCAGTTTGGACTCCTTTGAATGTTTGCTTTCTGAAGGTGATTGTGAAGATGATATCTCTGCCTTTCTCCTAGTTTTTTTCTCACTTCTTCGCAAAGCTGTTGATGTTGAGATTTCTGTGTTTACTTCTGGAGTTCCAAAATGTCCATGGACAGGGATTGGGGCTCCCCAGGAGATGAAGCAGTGAGTTCTGTCCATGATTTCAGCCAGGGAAATGAGGCCCAAGGATAGGGTTAGAGAGGGTGTGATCAAGACCAGCTGGTCTTAGTATTAAGATTAGACTGTGCAGTCTTGGTTTGCAGGTTCTGCTGATTAGTTAGAGAGAGCCTATATTGAAGTGAAGGCTGATGGGGGATTTTTTTTCTCTCCACAGAACTTCCTGCAGGGACTACTAACCAAAGATCCCCGGCAGCGCCTGTCCTGGCCAGAACTTTTACATCA